GGTTGACCTCGCTCATACACCCCGCTCACTGCCTACCCTATGCTTTGACTTCTTTCTCCCCTCTCTCTCCAGATGAAATCTTGCGACTTGTGATGGCCGGCCGCCCCAATAACCTGCCCGCTTGACCCTATCCCCTCCTCTCTTCTCCAGACCATCTCCGGTGACCTTCTCCCTTACCTCACCTTGCTCATCAACTCATCCTTGACCGCTGGCTATGTCCCTTCCGTCTTCAAGAGAGCGAGAGTTGCACCCTTTCTCAAAAAACCTACACTCGATCCCTCCGATGTCAACAACTACAGACCAGTATCCCTTCTTTCTTTTCTCTCCAAAACTCTTGAGCGTGCCGTCTTTAGCCAACTGTCTTGCTATCTCTCTCAGAATGACCTTCTTGATCCAAACCAGTCAGGTTTCAAGACTGGTCATTCAACTGAGACTGCTCTTCTCTGTGTCACGGAGGCTCTCCGCACTGCTAAAGCTAACTCTCTCTCCTCTGCTCTTGTCCTTCTAGACCTGTCTGCTGCCTTTGATACTGTGAACCATCAGATCCTCCTCTCCACCCTCTCCAAGTTGTGCATCTCCGGCGCGGCTCACTCTTGGATTGCGTCCTACCTGACCGGTCGCTCCTACCAAGTGGCGTGGCGAGAATCTGTCTCCGCACCACGTGCTCTCACCACTGGTGTCCCCCAGGGCTTAGTTCTAGGCCCTCTCCTATTCTCGCTATACACCAAGTCACTTGGCTCTGTCATATCCTCACATGGCCTCTCCTATCATTGCTACACAGACGACACACAACTAATCTTCTCCTTTCCCCCTTCTGATAACCAGGTGGCGAATCGCATCTCTGCATGTCTGGCAGACATATCAGTGTGGATGACGGATCACCACCTCAAGCTGAACCTCGGCAAGACGGAGCTGCTCTTCCTCCCAGGGAAGGACTGCCCGTTCCATGATCTCGCCATCACGGTTGACAACTCCGTTGTGTCCTCCTCCCAGAGTGCAAAGAGCCTTGGCGTGACCCTGGACAACACCCTGTCATTCTCCACTAACATCAAGGCGGTGACCCGATCCTGTAGGTTCATGCTCTACAACATTCGGAGAGTATGACCCTGCCTTACACAGGAAGCGGCACAGGTCCTAATCCAGGCACTTGTCATCTCCCGTCTGGATTACTGCAACTCGCTGTTGGCTGGGCTCCCTGCCTGTGCCATTAAACCCCTACAACTCATCCAGAATGCCGCAGCCAGTCTGGTGTTCAACCTTCCCAAGTTCTCTCACGTCACCCCGCTCCTCTGCACACTCCACTGGCTTCCAGTTGAAGCTCGCATCTGCTACAAGACCATGGTGCTTGCCTACGGAGCTGTGAGGGGAACGGCACCTCCGTACCTTCAGGCTCTGATCAGTCCCTAAACCCAAACGAGGGCATGGCGTTCATCCACCTCTGGCCTGCTGGCCCCCCTACCTCTGCGGAAGCACAGTTCCCGCTCAGCCCATTCAAAACTGTTCGCTGCTCTGGCACCCCAATGGTGGAACAAGCTCCCTCACGACGCCAGGAAAGCGGAGTCACTCACCACCTTCCGGAGACACTTGAAACCCCACCTCTTTAAGGAATACCTGGGATAGGATAAAGTAATCCTTCTACTCCCCCTTATCCCACCCCAAAGAAAGAAAAAAAAAAAAAAAACATATTGTAAAGTGGTTATCCCACTGGCTATAAGGTGAATGCACCAATTTGTAAGTCCCTCTGGATAAGAGCATCTGCTAAATGACGTAAATGTAAATGTAATTATAAACTGGGTTGTTTGAGCCCTGAATGCTGATTGGCTGACAGCCGTGGTATATCAGACCATATACCACGGATATGACAAAACATTTATTTTTACTGCTCTAATTACGTTGGTAACCAGTTTATAATAGCAATAAGGCACCTTAGGGGTTTGTGATATGGCCAATATACCACAGCTAAGGGCTGTGTTCTCCCACATGCTGACCTCTGACGTCACCTACTAAGGAAATTACCTCGATAACAGCATTTTCGGCAGTTAAATCCAACAACAAAACATTGTTTTTTATATATAATCTATGAACATGATAGCTGCATAGCCACGGGAAGTAGTTTGGGGGTGGGGGCAATTGTTTAAAATGCTAAATATATATTTTTTTTATTCTGATTTTTCAGTGGGGGCTGCAGCACCCCCAGCACCCCTACTTCCAGCGGCTGTGGATAGCTGTAGTTTTAGTTTATGGTTGACACAGCTTGTTGGCCATTAGCCAATTAGCGTTTCTCAACAAGTGCAAACTGGTATTTACGACTTCACAACTGGTAAATACCACCTTCCCACTTGGTTAACAACGCAGCATCACTCCTACCCCAATACAGGTGTCATGTTTTTAATGTCAAAGTGTAATGATGACTATTTGTGCTTCATCAATGACTCACACTCATATAGCAACTGAAATTCAATGACTTTAATATTTAAAAGAAGGGCAGTCGAAGCAGAATAAAGTGACAACACAGAATATACAATCAGAGTAGGCCTACAATATTACATGAGCATCGTGCCATCTTAAACTAACACACTATCCTGATAGATAGAGCTAGGTAGAGTAGGTGCTTTATTAGGCTTTATTCATTACTTTTAATGTACAATTAAGTCAGTCTATCTGTGTTGTCTATGTAATTTCTACAGTTTATTCCTCTATTGCAGTTTAGAACTACTTGCTCTATTTCCATTAGGTTATTTTGATAAACCTCATTGTTTCTAGCTAGAAACAATAAAAAATATAGCCAAACACAAAAGAACAAGAAAAATAAGACCAACAGCAAATGCAAATGGTGGTGTCTGGCGACCTGTAAGATGGTAGTAAATGTTAGTTAGCTACAGTAAAGTACAATTATCACAAGAGTCAATGTTTCTGAAATGCAAACAAAATAACCTCTGTATAAAAACGTGTCATAATTACCAACAACTATGTATATGGATTATATAGTTATTAGTTATAAATAAAGTGTTATGTTGTAGAATTTAGTTTGAATTAATGGTGGACTTACAACGACTGACTGCAGATCCAGATTCAGTCTGTAAAAGAAAGAAAGATTAAAACGTTATCTTTAGTTCTCATAGTACATCATTAACAAAGTGAAATTCAAAATGGTGGTGATGAGTAAATACCTCAGGATGTATATTAAGCTTCCTCAGTATCTCTTTGACTGCTTCTTCATTGCGATGACACTCCAATAGTCCCTTGCTCTCATGGAAGAGACAGTCCACTGTAAGTTTTACATCACCTCTGGTCACTAGTCTGCTGCTGTCAGGTACGGTGTAGTCTGGGATGAAGGTGTGATGCAGCACTACCAGAATGACAGGTTTACCAGCTGTCAAAAAGAAAACAAAATACACATCACCTCATTACCATTTTATTTTGTTTGCCTATTTTCCCATTCATTTTGGAGGGATTGATTCTGCCCTGACTAAATTACCTGGAATCTGCTGCAGTGCTGCCTCAATATCAGTACCAGCACGAGAGACGATGGGACAAAAAGCCATGACGACATCACTCTCTTCTAGTGACATCACTTCAGTACAGCCTCCTCTGATGACGAGATGTCTTGTCAAATCCACATGAGCACCCAAGGTATTGCCATACACAAATATGAAGAATCTCACCATCCCTGAAATCCCTATAAAGATACAGAAAATATGAAGCAAATGTAGAAATAATTCACACTATCTAGATAGAATGCTTTATCTTTTTAATTGCATTACATCAAAAGTAGTTCAAGGGGAAAAATACACTGTAATCCATTATGCTTATTTGGAAATGAGGCAATCCAGTTATAAAGATGAGCTATCTCTTTGAAACGAGACAGGAGGCACTTCCTTCATAATAGTTTTTGAAATCAGAAAGTGGTGGATGTGGTTTTGCAACTGTAGTCAAACACTGCTTCCACATTATCTATTTACAGTCAGTTTTTCTTACAGGCATCAACATTGATCCCCCAATAGCAGTTTTCTTAAATGACAAGTGAATGTAGATATTGTACATACATATCATATTAATGTATGATTTATAGCTGGTACTTACCTCCAAGAAATGTGCGCTGCAGCAGAGAGAAAGATTGCAAATTACACACAAAATGTATATACACTTTGTATAAAAGCTCTATATGACATCATATAGTGGTATACAATTGTTGGGTATTTTGTCAGCTGTTGAGTTAAGTGGCAACTCCTAAAATGAAAATATACATACTGGCCTGTTCCTGTGATCAGGGATGTCCATGACGACATCTGTCACCTATGAATACAGTATTTCAATACACTAAATAAAGTAGTTCAATATACTTTGATTACAAATAACAAATACTAATATTTAAATGAAAAAAAACATTATTTACACTCTTGGACCCTTAAATTAAAATATCTGCTTTTGCATGAACTCATTTTGCTAACCAAATGTGTTTGGTTTGTGTGTCCAATTCATGAATGATCATGAATGAATGACGAATATACACATACAACATGGGTGAACTACCTTTGGCTTCATGTTCAGCTGGATCAGAATGTTACCAACTGCTGCTTTGTTGCGAGGACAGTTCAGTAGTCCTCCCTGACTCTCATGGAACAGACAGTCCACTGTGAGTATTACATCACCTCTGGTCACTAGTCTGCTGCTGTCAGGTACAGTGCACTCCGGATTAAAAAAGTGATGCAGGACTACCAGAATGACATGTTTATCATCTGTCAAAGGAATGAGGGACCAACAAAGCATTTATTAATGTCATTAGCCTCTTGATACATGTTCTATCTAGATCAACACTGATGTGGAGATAGAATATATAGAAGAGACAGTAATATAGTTTGAGGATACTTTGGGGGTTGGCTACCTGGAATCTGCTGCAGTGCTGCCTCAATATCAGTACCAGCACGAGAGACAATGGGACAGAAAGCCACGATGACATCACTCTGCTCTGGTGACATCACTTCAGTGAAGCCTCCTCCAAGTTGTCTCGTAAACTGGATATGAGAACCCATAGTATTGCCAGTTGTGATGGTGTAGTATTTAATCAACCTTGGCACCTCTGTTTTGTAATGGACAAAAAATAGAAAAGTCAAGTATTGACCCTAAAACTAAAAGTAGAAATGTTTTGGTTTAGATCACCGCCCAGACAGATATAAGCCTAACCTAAGATCTGGCCTTAAACATTATTTAAATAAGTGGAAGGCCTGTGTCCTGTTAAAATAATTACCTCTGTGTTCCATTTTGGATCTGTAAGGGGAGTGAACAGGGAAAATATATTTATTAATCATGTAACAGACAATAAAATACATATCTTACTGTGGCGCAGTGGTCTAAGGCACTGCATCGCAGTGCTAGCTGTGCCACTAGAGATCCTGGTTCGAATCCAGGCTCTGTTGTAGCCGGCCGCGACCGGGAGACCCATGGGGCGGCGCACAATTGGCCCAGCGTCGTCCAGGGTAGGGGAGGGAATGGCCGGCAGGGATGTAGCTCAGTTGGTAGAGCATGGCGTTTGCAACGCCAGGGTTGTGGGTTTGATTCCCACGGGGGGCCAGTATGAAAAATATAAATAATGTATGTATCACTCCCTCCAGGAAATACACGACGCCGCTGTTCTGGTTACTGATGGATTTATTCTTCTACTAAATTCTCCACCGTCATCAATCCACCGTCGAACTGTTTAAATACATTTCAACACATGCACAAAAAACAAGTTGGCGTTCACGTTACAGAAACCTTGCACGTAAATATGCGCGACAAATAATGAACATACCTCGCTGGCTGCACACAACTGAGAGGGAAATGGGTCCACTTAGAAACAAGAATACTTGTAAATAAACACGTCGTTAATTTAACTTATCTTTCAGAGTACTAAACTTTACCGCCGCTACTTTACCGCGATGTCTGGAACTTGTCACCACTAAAAGCGTCCCAACACAACATAGAATGTACAGATAGTTCCTATCACATAAATACAAGCAAAATCAATATTCAAAATACAAGTTGTACAAATAATAATGATATTATGTAAAACCTATTAATAATGACATGAATAACATTTATGGCAGTTAAACTCCCACCAAATCACATCCTTTGGGATTTCACCTCACAAATTAACCATAACATTCATTCTGCTTCAAGCAGTAAAACTGTCTTGTATACAGGCCTGTCAAGATAGACTGGCTTTGTAGTGCGTTTTCCCTGGTTATCTAAGGTTGAGTCACTAATTAACATTGGTGTTGATTGTTCTGAGATAAGTACACTCCCCATAGCCTGTGACGCTGGCATCTGAGAAGTGGTGAAGCTCGTACTGTTTGACATCTATGAAGTTTGCTGGAATATAGCACCTTCTGATCCTTACATTAGACAAGTTTTGTAGATCTTGTAGCCAAGATTCCCACTGTGTCTTGAGCTCCTCTGAGAGTGGTTCATCCCAACCGGCCTTGTCTCGACACAGTTGTTGCAATATCTGCTTTCCTAGGAGAATGAATAGGGCTACGAACCCCAATGGGTCGTAGATGGAAGCTACTGTTGATAGCACTCCTCTTCTGGTCAACGGGTGTTCCTTGACTGTAACTCTGAGCTGAAAGTCATCAGAGGACACGCACCATTGCACTCCGAGAGCTCTTTCCATGAGTGGCTCTCCCAAAGCCATATCAAGGGTTTTGACACTTTCAGCGCACTCTTCCTTTGGTATTGATTTCAATACATGCTTGCTGTTGGAGACGAACTTATGTAGTCTTAGCTTGCCTGTGCTGCAAAGACCTCTTGCTTCCTTGATGAGTTGAATTGCCTCAGCATCAGACGTTACACTCACCAGTCCATCGAATTTAACAGCGTTTTGGTTAAATTGATCCTGACCTTTAGCGGCTAGATGTTTGAGACCAAAATTGGCACAGCCGGGTGAGGAGGCTGCCCCAAACAGATGGACTTTCATCCGGAAAGTTGATGGCGGAGACATCAGGTCACCATTCTCCCACCATAAGAACCTCAGGTAGTCTTGGTCTTCCGGTCTTACATGGAACTGATGGAACATTCGCTCCACATCACACATAATAGCAATTGGGCCCTTGCGAAACCTGCAGAGAACTCCCACCAAGGTATTTGTGAGCTCTGGCCCAGTAAGAAGGTGGTCATTCAATGACGTGTCTTGGAATCTTGCTGAGCAATCGAAGACGACGCGTATCTTCCCAGGCTTTTGAGGGTGGTATACCCCGTGGTGGGGAATATACCAGGCTGGATGATTGTTGAGTTCCTTTTCGGGAACCTTCTCAGCATCACCACGAGCAATGATATCTTTCATGAAGTTCATGTAGTCTGAGCAGTATTTCTGGTCTCTCTTGAGCCTTCGTTCCAAGCCTCTTAGACGCTGAACAGAACATGACTTATTATTGGGTAGATTTGGTCTGTCTTGTTTGAAAGGTAAGGGCATTTCATAATGACCATCTTGTTTGTGTTTGATTTCATCTCTCAGCTTAGTCAAGAAGTGGAGATCTTCCTGAGAGACGGTTGCATCTTCTTCAACTCTTTCACTGAAATCAGATTCTAGTACCTTAATTACATCATTTGGACTGATCATTTCCTTGATCTGAGTCTTGCAAACATAGTGAACTTCACCTTTGAGCTTGATTGTTGGTTTGGGTTCAGGTGTCACTTTCCTTAAAATGATGCGGTGACTTACTCCAATTGCATCACTGTAGTGCTCTTGTGGGTCACCATAACTCACTATGCTCCAACCTAGATCAGTTCTCTGAGCAAAGGGTTCGTTTTCTTCTCCACATATGACTTCTCTGGGCATTAGCGCTTGTGGGCAATTGTATCCGATTAGCAGACCAATTTCACATTCCTTTGGCGGTGCAATGTGTTCTGCAAGATGCTCCAAATGAGGCCATGCTTTAGCGGTCTCTGAAGTTGGAATGTGTGTCCGATTGGCAGGGATAAATTCACGAGTGTACGTTGTTGGCACTGTGATCTTCTTAGAGGAGAATAGACCTCTTATTTGTAGGTATTTGAGTCTTTTACAGGGTACAATTGTCCTTTTTGACGACATTGTAGATAGTTTCAGCTTCACTTGTTCCGTGTTCGTATCTAGAATGTTTGCTACTTCCTCAAGAATGAAGGAAGAATCACTTTGTGAATCTAGCAGAGCATAGACAAGAACTTCCTTACTTGAATCACTTTGCGTTGACACATAGACAGGTACTATCGCTGAAGTCTGTGTAGTATTGCCATCTTGCATAACTCTGTTGGATGTGGTTTCCTTGATAACCTCTTGTGTTGACAGTAGCTTTCTTTCCTTGCCATAACTTATGTCTTTAGATGTTTCCCCTTTTGGTTCTTGTTTTGAGCGATCTTCGTGTAGGCATGTGGGATGACGTTTTGAGCAGGTGTCACAGACCATCCGGCTACTGCAGCTCTTGGATTGATGGCCAGGACTTAAACATCCGAAGCACAGTCTTTCATTCTGAATGAACTTGACTCGTTCGGCGACTGTCCTTTCAATGAATTTGAAGCACTTGTGTAAACTGTGTCCTAATTTCTTACATAACACACATGTGACTATGTTTCTCTCACTGATGTTAGTTGTGAAGATCTTGGCACCTACAGTTTGGTTCTTGATCTTTGCTTTATCAGTTTCACTTTGTCGTAATGCGTTGTAGGATGTTATAGGGTTGCACGCAATGCTAGCTTCCATCGACAGGAATGTCACAAAATAGTTAAAGCTTGGGAACATTCTGTGTTCCAGTTGGTATTGTGTGGCCCTTCGGTTCCATCTGCTACTTAACCAGTCGGGTAGTTTGGCAGCTAGTTTTTGATTCTCAATATCATCATTAAGAACCTTTAGACTCTCATTGTGAGCAATAGCGAATTCACAACTACGTAGAAAGTCTACAAATTTTCTTAAGTCTGCACTCTCCTTAGGAGCTAGTTTTGGCCAAGCATGTAATTTGTCTCGGAAGGCCTTGGCAATCACAAACGGCTCACCATAACGTTCCTTGAGCAGGTCCCATGCTGCATGATATGAATCTTCTGAATCGATCAGAAAATAACCTTCTACTGCTTCTTTAGCTGCTCCTCCCACATATTTCTGAAGAAAGAAGATTTTCTCTGCAGCTGGAATATTTTTTCTCTCAATCAGTGTCTGAAAGGAAGACTTCCAATGGTTAAACTTGAGTGGATCCCCACTAAAAATTGTAGGCTCTGGAATGGGAAGCCTATTTGCTGATATAGCCTCAGCCAGGACTTTCACAAGCTCTCTTGTGTCGTTTTGAAGCACACTTCTTGGAGCCACATCCCTTAGTGGTTGTGGGTGCTGATACACAGGATTCACCTGATCAATTGGTTGCTCAAATGTAGGCAGCTCAGACTTATGTGGAGTAAGCCTTTGGTCTGGATACAACTCATTTTCGTCATAGACTTGAAGCCTTGCTCTGGCCGCGTTCAGTCTTTTTATCTCCTCTAAACGTCCAAGCTCTCTTTTTAAGTCTTCTACAGATCTTTTCCTTGCAGCATTCTCTTCTTGCTGTTTCTTTAAGAGCAAAGCTTCTTGTCTCTCCTTTTCTATCTTATGTCCAGTCTCTTCTCTTTCGCCTTGAAGACGACGAGTTACTGCAGCTACTTCTTGCTCTGCAACTATCTTCTTGTCCTCAACTTCAAGTCTTTGGAGTTTCTCTTGGTGGCACTCTTGCTCAGCCATAATCTTCAACACAGCCTTTGTGGCTGCATACTCAGCAGCGGCTTCTTGTCGTTTAACTGAGGATACATTAGAGCGAATGGAAGTGGCCTTAGAAGACTTAAAGTCTGGAGATGACACACTGGAAATCGTAGATGCGAATACGGAGCTTCCATCCGGCCAAATCAGTTCCTCCTTTGTTCCTTGAATTTGAGATTGCGCGTTGTGTACAACAATCTTGGTGACTGATATACATTTATCCAGCTTGCGGCGCATCTCGTGAGCTGGGCTGTCAATCCTGCGATATTCTTCATAAACATTATTCAGTTCAGATAACTCTCTTTGAATAGTGCTGCTGTGTTCGTGTAGGATGTTACTTGGATCTTGTTTTGTAACTGATTTCTTAGCCACCTTAGTTAAAACTTTCCAGCGTTCATAAATGCTGTCAAAGCGAATTAGTAGTTATTTTGTTTTTTCTTTCTGAAATTCTTTTCCCTTTTCCGTTAATGTACGGGCTCTTCCACTTCGTCGAGGCTCTTCAGACTGTACTGCTTCTTGTACAACGCTAGA